AAAAAAAAAAAAAAAAAAAAAAAAAAAAAAACCCGAGTTTTGGTCCTTCCACAAAACCCAAGTTTTGGTCATTCCATCGGCAAAAGTCGGTCAATTTGACGGGTTGTTGAATTGGATATGTTTGCCACATATACGAAAAAAAGAAAGAAACAAAAAACAATATTTACATTAGCAACTGATCACAGGACCGGCTTTTGCCGGTGGAATGACCAAAAGTCGGGTGTTTTGTAAAGTCAATGCGATCAGACTATTTCCTAATTAGGTGTCAATTACAAGACTAAATTTCCAATTTTTCCGTCAATGAACACAAGTAGCTAAGAAATTTGATCTATATATACAGCTGTTTGAGCTATTCAAGGAAAGAAAACACGACGATGCACAGAAAACGGTATGTATATAGATTCATCTGTGTCTTTTGTTCAATATCTTTATATCATTGAAGAATACAATTACATAACCAACACTTTAAACTTTGCAGATTTTGTGGCAACAAGCAGTGCACAACAAGTGGGCTCTTTTCAAGTCTATATTCCAACTCTTGCTGGGGATTGTTATGTTGACCTTTTTGGGAGGGCCTTTAATGGGTAGCATATTGCAGTTATCATATGCCATGGGATTCCCATCTTTCAGTATATCGTTCGTGATTGTACCGTTTGCCATGAATGCACGAGCTGTATTAGCAGCTATTTTCCCGGCCAGCCAAAAGAGTACACTAACTGCTTCTTTGACATTCTCAGAGGTAGATATCTCCCTCCACTATAAAATATACATTTGTTAGCATATTTTGATGCAAAAAAAGAAAAAGAAAAAAAAAAAGAAGTTCATTGGAGCTAAAACGAATGATTTAACTAACCCGTTTTGCGCATTTGTGGACAGATATACGGTGGAGTCATTATGAACAACATAGCAGGACTTACGACATTGTTGGCAATTGTGTACGCGAAAGACTTGACATGGGATTTTTCAGCCGAAGTTTTGACGATTTTGGTCGTGTGTGCGATTGTAGGCATGCTGGCTTACTCGAGCACCACTTATCCTCTGTGGACTTGCATATTAGCATTCTTTCTGTATCCTTTTTCATTGGGAATGTTTTACTTCGTCCAGGTTTTCTTGAGTTGGAACTGACACGTTCACGAACTGGTTTTCTCTGTACTTCCCTCATTCTTTACGTGTTCTTCTGTTGTGTAATCTTTCGTATTACTATTATTAAAAGATCAGAAAAATAAAATAGAGGCTCAGTAACATTGTAAAAGAGTTCATTGTGCACGTTTCCAATCGTTTATAAACAAAAATTATGAACTTCCTCTGTATGTCAATGTTTGAGAAGCTACAAATCAATACCAAAGCACCCATAACGGTATACGACATGATAAATGAGTAAAAACAAAAATCATAAAAACAGAGAAGGGCTAATAGAAGAATGCTATATCTGTCGGGTGATGCCATAGCGAAAAAGTGGTGTCTGTAACACTTTGAGATACTCATAATTTTCAAAGAAAAGTGTAGTTGTTTTGTGTTCTTAGGCTAAACATTAGGGTTTAGTTATTCGAAGAAATTAAGGTATTCAGTGGCGACTTCAAGGCCAGAATTTAACCATACCCTCGTGAAAATCTTATGGCTCATATTACATATAAATTACTAACTCTGGCTCATCCACTCGGCCTTGAGCCAAAATGCATATAAATAATACATTGTCGAGAAAGTAACAAATCGAGTGATAAAGCAGAAAAGTATTTGATGCGGAAGAAAAAACCAACCTTGAGAAACATTTCTAGGGGAGCACGTAAAAAATGAATTCTACTGCAGCCGGATTTGGAGTTGGTTTGGAGCTGGTTTTGTCCCATATGTTAGTGCAATCACTGGGAATACCGTGATATGATGCTGCAAAAAGAAAGTAGAATGAATCTTTCCAAATCAAATATACAATAATCGATGCAAATTGCGAAAGCTATTCAACTATGCATCAGTAAACATACCATTCTTCTTTTTCCTTTTTTCTGCTTCCCCTCCACAACACAAAATCCCGCAACTCTTTAGAAGAATGCTAAACGTATTGTATCATTTTACGAAATATTTCTATTATCTAGAGTATCTTGGTAAATATAGCTCATACTATGCAACCATGGTTGAAGCCATTGCAGCTGATGTTTTCCTAAAGAGATAGATATTGAAACTAAAAGGAGTAAAATGGGTAAAATAACAAAAATTCATTCCTGTTGTATAGTAAGGTTTGAAAACAATTCATTGAGATACAATTGACTGCAACACTAAATGTAAACAACATGTTTCACAATCTTAACTGATGAACAACTTACAAATATGCATTATGTAAATTGCTAAGTTCCAGTTGTTTCGCATGCCAAATTATGTTTCAGGGTCCAATACGTCGAGAGCAGCCAAATGTCACGCCACAAATACTGCAAATAATATCTCCAAATGAAGATACAATATACAAATGATATTCAAGATGTTATATGTCACATAACATCATATTATACATTTCTCAAATCTTAGATTTGAAATGTTCTAGCCATAAATGGCCAGAACAATTCCTATCCAAACGAGGCATATTATCAAGGACACTAAATTCAGGTTTCGGATGATAAAAAAATAAATCCACAACATAATGAATGGTAATCTACAAACAGCAGAAATGAGTCCCTAAAAAGTGGCTTATATTTACAGAGCTGGCCAACTCAAGGCATGGTAGTATCCTTCAGCACCACTCTAGGAACTTTGAATTTAGGATTTTGCTCGAGAAAATCGGGTGGCCTCTGGTAAACGATTGAAGCTGCTCTGATCAATATACCGGCAGTTAAACCCCAAATGAGATACTTCTTGTTGTTAAATACATATTCGAAAAAATGGATCAGATATTTGTCCCCCATCCACTCTCTTTCTTCCGATCTTCTATTTTCGTCCTATGGAGGAAAAGGAAAATTATCAAGCGTGATGAAAATGCGGGTGGCTAAACAAATAAAATGGAACAACAACAATTAGGACTTGATGGACAATACCTTGAGAAACATTTCCAAGGGGGCATCAAATACAGATTCAACCTCAGCAGCATTAGGGGACGGGTCAAAGTCTTTCTTGTTCGAGAGTATGCCAATAACAGGAATAACCCTAAGGAGATGCTGCATATGTGCACTAAGGGGGTCAAACCGTAAAATCACATAACAAAAAGCGTGCGAGGTTCCAATAATTATTTTTTGTGGTGCATAGCTAAGACCTAGCGTTCTAATTTTGTCTTTCTTATGTAACTAAAATGAAAAGAATTCGAATACACCTCCTCTATTGTGAGAATCGTTTAAACTCAACCTTCACAGCAATTTCACTCTTAAATAAAAATCGTCTCTTAACTTATTCAGAGGCACATTAACATGAACGGTTCACATATCTATAAAAATATATACAATTACTAGGCACATAATAGATGGATTCTTCAATTGTCACTCTAAAATTCTGAAATTGTCGAAACGCTTAAGTTGAGCATCAACTATTCATATTTGAAATGGTTAAAACTATAAAAACAAAATCAGGACAAAGTTATAATCATGGAGTAACACAAGAAAAAGAAAAAAACAATTTTTTTTCTCCAAAGGATGAAAATTTATATACCTTTGATAAGAATGGTTCGAGGCAAGATACAATATTAACAAGTGAAGGGTCTAATCCTATCTCCTCTTTCGCTTCCCTCGTTGCTGTCTCGGCATCATTTGCATCTGTTTCTTCTGCTTTCCCACCAGGCAAAGAAACTTCACCTGTCTTCATCAGACAATTTATTAATCAAATCTATATATACAGCCCACACAACAAAAGCACAGATAACAATAATATACTGCATACATATCCTGTGATAGCATATTAACATGAAATGTTAGGTCACAAATGAACTAAAATTTCCAACATTTCAACAAATTCCCTCAACTCCAGTTGTTTTAATCCAAACTGTTTGAATCACTGATTCATTCCAATCCTCAATCATCTTATCCAACATCGGACAAAATCATAACTCTTTTTGCTCGAAAGAATTTCATATGAACTCCCCGAAATCGTAATTACAAGAATTGAACGAAAAATGCAATCAGACAAACCAGAATGAGTAGACAGCCCCGACGATCTCTTGGTGAGGATAACCCTAAACTCCCCATCATCACCTTCGAACAGGCAAATGAGGACGGCGGCTCGTTTGGGCCTGAACCTGTCAGCGGGCTGTTGGGCCACTGGGGTTGCAGACTCCGCAAAGCCCACCTGCGAGACCACTTTCCCTGCGCTCTCCTCGATCCGCTGCTCCTCCTCCTCCTCATCGTCGTCGCCGTCGGGCGGCGGCGGCGGTCTGTAGAGACGCAGCTGTTGTGCCAAGGCCACTAGCCTTTTGGAAGGCCCAACGCCGTTGGATGCGCCGAGATCCATGACGACGAGCTTGGTGAGGGAATTAGGGATTGGAGTTGACAAAAATGGCGTTGCCGACGACGAGAAAAGGGGCGTTGTTATTAAGGAAGCTGAGCTTCTTCTGAGTAGTGGGAGCATGTGGGTGGAGTTGCTGTAAATTAATGGTTGCTTCATAAATGCCTTTAATGGCGGTTGGGATCAAATGATGATGAGGTCGCCATTGATTTTTGCCGTCGAGCTGCGAGCACCTGTAATTTCGGTGACTAATTTTCTACATCATTTTTCTTGCAAGTGTTTCAAAATAATTATTTCTCCCTATAAGAATACTTTTCGACGCCCAACCATTGTAATTCATGGTTGATGGTTGGATGTTTGTTATGAATTATGATATGATATAT